AAAGAGGTACTTATTTATTTTTTGCTAAATTTTGAAATAGCCTGTTCTAAAATTCACGCAACAAGTAACAGGTTTTTAAGCAAAATTTGAGAATTTTTAATTGATTCGAAAAGTATAAAGCAATATAGAGTTATGCATTGATTATCGGATAAATGACCTCCATGTTTTTGCTGACATATATGCTTTATTTTAGCGAAATTTTCAGTTACCATTTTATACAACAGTGGCAGTGCTCATTTTACAAAATCATATTTTTTTACTTCAGAAATGGATATTTAGTGACTTGTTGGCATAAACATTAGACTTGAGAAAAAAATTCAAAAAAATAGTTTATACAATTTAAAATAGAGAACAACCAGGGATATTTAAAATATTGCACATCAACAAAAGCGCGTTTTTTCCGTGGAAATCCAATTTTATTGAGAGTTGATAATTTACAAATTATCAACTATCTATTTTTGAAGGCACGATTTTATTGAACAAATTTAACGAAACTAAATTCTTGTGTTTATTTTGGGAAACTATTAATGTTTTAGATGAGATGTAAGAATAACTTGAGAAATTAAAGAAAAACAAAGTAAACGATAACAAATAGAGTATATCGTTTTTTGTTGTATTTTTCAATAATTGCTTGATTCTTTTAATTAAGAATATCTACTTTATCAAGAATTATCTGAGATTAAGATAAAGTGAGTAGTGCTAGCAAGATTTTGAATTAGATAACGAACTTTTATTTAATGTATGATTAGTTAACAGTTGTTTTTAACAATTTAATTGTTGAATTTCATACGTTTTCATGCCGTCCTACTCTCTGTACTTCTTTTCTGTATACCTTCTTAGTTTCAAATTTCTAAGTCTAACAGATTTTCTGATGCAAAGCAAAATGCAACGTAAAACGAAAAAAGTGATAAAAAAAATTCGTGAAAAAGCATTTAAAATTACAATTGCTTTCAATTAAATTATAATTTTGAAAAGAAAACTGTGCTAAGTTCAAAAAATAAACTCCTTTTCAGCATACCAAATTTTAACTCTGAAGTTCCATTCCTGTGGCCTGTAGAGCGGTCCGTATGGTGTTTATTCTTACAAGTTTAACAGTTATTAATTTTCGAACTAATTGTTAATGTTAAATTTTTTTATTACACTGTACATTTTTCTTCACTCCTTTGTAATATCAAGTTTTTTACAGTTTTTGCACCACAAAACAAACCACACGGTTAAGTTGAACAACCAAAACAGCGGAGGCCGATCTAGCGATTTTTTAGTATAAAAATGTTTCTCATATTACTACTGAGAAACGGTCTAACAACTTGTTGAGATGAAACACATAAAATGTTGATTTAAATGAGTACTAAAATGATATTTCTTTTGTTACAGCAATTGTTTTGAGCATTCCGTATGATCGACAGTGTCACATACTGTATGAACACGATGCAACTATTAAAGGTGAAGTCATCAGTCCCTTCTATGATGAAGGAGCTTATCCAGATGATTTGTGGTGTGAATACAGGATAAGGGCACCACAAGGACACGTTAGTATATTCGGTATTTTTCCATTATACCGGCGCAAATCTTGCCAAGCAAACTTTTTGGTGACAGCACACAGTTGCCGGAACAAATCACACAAAACAGACTTTAATGGCTACAACACACAGCATACACATGAAAAAAAAACAGTTAATAAGTGGTTGAAAAAAACTTCGGAGGCATAAATACTTTAATGTCGCTTAAAATTTTTTAGAATGGGGCTTCCGTTTGCCTTCTCCACATAAATTACGCAAGATAACTTTCGAGATGGTGCGTCGTTCCTCTGTGTTTCTTAATTCGCCATTTCGCTCTAGCCCACAGTCTCTCTATTTTTTTGCGTGTGTGTTTCAGTTTCCGGATCTACAAGGATTGTATTTATGGTTCACTTTGAAATGTTCGAAACATTCATCGTCCAGCTTACTAGTGCAGTATGATTTCCATGAATCGGAACACCATTTAACTGAAGTTAATTCTTCGCTGCTACAATAAATAAACCACAGACACTTCAAAGAGCTCATTGCCATGTGCTCACCATGTGCCTTTACGGATACTTCTATTGCAGTGACAAGATGAAAGGTTGCAACGCCATTGAATTTCATCTCCCATACACAATTTCATTTCATGATTCTTATCTCAAGTTGCGATTTCAACCAAAACGTCTTTTTCCTGAAAGAATCTGGCCGCTTCTTCCTCTGTTTTGGGCAAATCCCAAATTTTCCTCTCTTTTTCGTTAATTTTTCGTACTAAGAAAAAGACGTGACCGATAAAAAAATGGCCGCGACTTGCTTTGAAAATGTGGTGACAAAAGGTTACCAGCGGAGATATTCAGTTTGGCATTGGTTGCATCATTATTGGAGCCCTTATCGCCTGCGCCGGTATAATGGAAAAGTACCCATTTTACTATATATTATTTAAATAATACAAAACGTTGACGAAAAAATTCGCATTTTAGCAATTTGAAAATAAATATTCAATATGTTGAATAAGAACCTCCTTTAAATATTCATAATTAGAATGCATCAAATATGATATAAAAAAAGTATACACATAAGCGGTCATAAATTAATAATTGTCGGATCGCTAGTGTGGAACGAGGAAATGAAAACTTCTAAACTGTATGTTTGCCGCAAGAAGTTTGATCCCAACTCTCCATACGGCAAAGTTAAAACTTCGTAAATGTCTTCTTCGTATATACAAAATTTGATAACGAATCGTATACGCATAAGAGATCACAAATTAATGTTTGGCGAATCGCTAATGAGAAGAGCGGCAATTCAAAAGCGCCTTCAAAACCAGTTTGATTGCCGTTAGAAGTTTGAGCTCATACTAATTTATCGTTTTCAACACCTCTGTGCTTTTTCTGCAATGTCAAAACTTCTTTAGAGCTTCCCATGTAAGAAATCCTATTGCAAGAACTAAATAATTTGAATGTCATTTTTATTTTAAAACTTTACACTGAAAAATTATTTTTCTTTTTATTTCAACACAGAGAATTAAACTAACCTTTAAGGATCTAGATATTGATCCTACTGGTGACACCTTAGTGGTTTTTTCAAAAGCCAAGGAAAGTATTTTGGCTGAATTTAGCGGAAGCCAACTTCCAAAGCCAGTTCTCTCGAAACCTGATGAAAGTGAGATAATGCTTCTGTTTTTCACTGACTTCATGATTGCAGGCAGGGGATTTATAATACAATATGAGTCAGCGCCTGATATGGGTAAGTAATAAAAAAAAATTCTATTAATTTTAAACAAACGCGAAAATAGTTTTTTTTTTCAATTGTAATTTTTTTTATGTCATTTATAAATAAAAAAGCAACCAATAGCAAAGATATCATATTTAGTTGTGTCGATTTCTAAGATAAAATGATTTTTATGCTATGAGAACAATTGAGAAAGTATTTTTAGCAATACTGTATGCTATGCTTTGAATACTAAAATCAAAGCTATTTCGTGTCTTTCAGAAAATTAGTCAGTGCAAATATTTTTTAAGGGGATGATAAATTAGCATAATTTAAAACAGATTTTTCATTGAAAGGATTTACATTAAATGTTTCAAGAGATTACTTTTGCACATGTGCGTATCAAGTGTACACATTGATGTGTAAAGAAAATTACAATACTAACAATAAACCATCATCAGATTCTCAATTCTGATACAGTGCATTACGACTCAACATTTCTTGTGGTTTACTTAGACATGCAAAAAACAGATCCAAGAGTTATTGAGGCTAGTTGTGAGGATTAATCTTAATGAACATAAAAGATAAGGAATTTATTGCTTTTGGGAGGACATTACTAAGAGCTTCAGGTTAAGAGAAAATATTGCCCAGTGTATTTTCAGTGTCCAAATAATATTGAAACAGCATCAACTGCACTAATCGTGGAAAATGAACCTGGTCCATCAACTTAATCCAAAAGTGCATGTTCGAAATTAAAATTGCCTTAGGAAATGTGTATAAGATTCCTAACACCATTGGTGAAATGTCTTTTGTACTTGATCTTTTGAAATTAATATTTTAACTGCTATCATTTTTTCTTTTCAGAGCTCTGCAACAAAAATGAAGGAGTTTGCAGGAATCGCAATTGTTACTCTCTATCTAAAAAGTGTGATGGTATCGATGATTGTGGTGATGGGACAGACGAGGAAAAATGCGGTAAATGAGGAAAATTATTTGAAAATATTTCTGACAGGCTTTCTTTCTATCTTTTCTGACAGGAGTAGCAGTTTAGCTATCTTTTCTGACAGGAGTAGCAGTTTAAAGTTTTTAAATAATTGAATTAAAACAGACTCGTTGGAAAAAATTTAATTTTAAAAGTAAGGTAAATTTTAATTTCAAAAATCAAAAAAATTGGAAGCGTTAACCTAAATTGCGATTTTTTAAAATAAAACTTGATTTTCAAAATGATTTAAAATACGCATATGAAAAAAATATTTTCCAATCTTCAGATGTTTTTACTCGTTTTCATCATAATTTTAAATAGTTAAGGAAATTAATTATAAAAATTTAAGCAGTCTTAATGATTCTTAAAATTTTTGTCCAATTTATCTCAAAACTAACTGCTCGTTTACCACTGATGCAATTTTTTTTGGATGAGGAAAATTTCTATTTTACATATTTCCAAATAAATAAGTGATACATTTACAATTATGTCACAGAAAATATTTTAAAAATGCTGCGAAAACGAAGATTTATCCGGATCAAAAGCAAATAAGTCCTAATAAAAGTAAAACTTCTGCAGGCTACGAGATCTACATTAGTTTTATAAGTACATGCTGTTAAACGAAGAAATTTGGATGAAAATTATACTCATATTCGAAATACATTATTTTGAGAAAACGTAATTTAAAATTTGTTCATGTATTGTATTGTAAAACCAACAAAATGCGCAGTATCCATGAATACGTTTGTCGCTTAAATTAAGTTTTAATTTATATGGCTTCAGATTCGAAAATTAGCAGCTGGATCATAGTTGTTGTTCACAGTTAAGTACCATTATTCTAACGGTATAACGAAAGATAACTAATTATTGCAGTGTTGCTTTAATCTTAAAATACGTATGAATATTTTGGGGCAATATAATCAGAAACTGATATTTTTGCATAAACTTTTACTAAGCACCGTTTCTATTTAGCAGTTATTTTACCAATCTGCAAATATTAATTCCATTAGCTATCAGATCAAGATTTATTTTCCTCACGGGAATTCGGTTTTTTATCAATATCACTCCCAAAATATGATCCCCTGAACAATATGAAAATGTAACTTGCTACATATATTGCTCAAGTGCTTCGTATGCAGCGACATTAAAATTTCCTAGTTAATGTAGTATAAAACCAAATCTGATTCAAAAATATTTTCCCCTCCTAACTCTTCATAGGAAGACTTTTTTTTCTTTAATTAAAAACAAGATTATTGAAAATAAATATTTATTGCGTTTGAGGAATACGTGGTATCTGCTCTTGATGTTCACACTCTATGGGTCATTTAAGCCAATGCCAAGTGTCATCTAAGCCTTGTGCCTCTATGTGCCATCGAGGGTATTTTTTACCTGCACGAATATCTTTACGTTGCACAAATGATAATGAAATAATTTAGTGCAGAAATGTTCCAAGAGATATTTTTTTTTTATAAAAGTTTACAATTTTCAAGAAAATGATGAATGAAACGGTTTGAAGGTTTACTCTCAAGAAAATATCTTTCTTTTGATTTACATTACTTAAACACATTGGTTTTGCTGCCAAGTCTTAATATTTTGCAGATCTCAGTGAATAAATATATATAGCAACAATCGTTGAGTGTTTTTGGTAGTGAAGAAGATTCCAAATCCAGGTGACGGTAAAAAGTGAACGATTAACTTGATAAAGCGTTTCTTTTGGTAGCAAATTAAAATGTAAAATATGAATCTTTGTCACGAACAATTCAAGTGAAAGTTATGGTTTTACAGATTTCACTGATTGGAAGCTTGAATTCAGAAAATAAGGACAATGCATTATCTTTATTTGCTATGAGCAACGAGTGAACTTCGAATATATTCTATAATATTTCCCAAAAATAGCACATAGAGTCTTCATTCACTCATGCAACTTCACACTTTTTATGCTCTTATTTATTTTTTCGTATTTAAATACTAATTTTTGTAACCTACATAAATCTTTGATTTCATTTTTACAAAGATTCCTAAAATATTTCTGAAGACAGTCTTTACGAGACACGTTTCATAGGACCAAATTTATTTAATTTATTCTTATTTTCACCAACTACAGGAAAACCAGTAGCTCTACCATCTGAAGAGTGTGGACAAACTCCTATCACCCCCAACACCATGTACAGTTCTCCTGATAGGCAGGTTGGGGGTATTCCAGTAGTTCCCAACAGTTGGCCCTGGCAAGTTTCATTGCAACACACCTACAAGGAACCCAACGCTCATTTTTGTGGAGGTTCCCTCATTAGTCCGCAATGGGTGCTGACGGCTGCTCACTGTGTGGTTGGGTAAGATAAAACGCAGATTCAGAAAATTTGACTTTGACTTTATTTATGCAAATACTACGATGAAGGATTTATTACTTTACTTGCTTGTTGAATACACTTCATTTTTGTGCAGGTGCTTCAGTACTGGATTTTACATACCGTTTCGGAACGTGTTGAATGAGAATAACGCTATCTTAATATGGTGCTAAGTTGTACCATAATATCGTACTTCTTGAATTTTATTGCATGATATTATATTATTTAGAGTTCAACTTTTACAAATAAGCACAGTTAAATTTATCATCTTATTCATGAAGCAGCAAGTTTGTACGCATTATGGTTCATAGCACCTAATTATGTGATCGCAGTTAATAGAATAATGTCCGTTGTCATTCTAAGTACTATCCGCTGCTGAGGGACATAGATTTCCTGTTGAGAGACATAACAATGATTCAAGAAAGGGGGAAAAAGTGTGCTTTAGTCAATGAATAAATGATGTCATACATAAAAGAATTTATTTCAAAATTTATTTCCAAATTTCGAATTAAATTTATACTAACTAATTATATAAATTTTGTGAAACCCAACGCCATTAAAACCATTAATAAGTCTTTTTTTAGAATATCTACGATAATTTTACCGATTGTTGTTTTTTTGGAGCAATCCTATTTGCTCCAAAAAATAGCTGTTTAAATGGCATTAATTTAGTTTTCGTAGTAGAAAGTAGGAGTAGAAGTTTTTTTTATAACAACAAAATATTTTCAGAATCTCCAGAGCCCAAGGTCAAGAAAACTGAGTTTAGTTTTTAGATGCCCTATTGAACTCAAAATTTCCCAAAATTCTTAACTTGATATTTCCGAAACTAAACAGATTAAATTCAATAAATAAAAAACTTGCATCTAATGGAAAACACATTAAGTGTATACTTTCAATGAATGCTTCAAGTGAACTGGGTAAATTTAAATGAGTAATTGGGTTTACGAGTATAAAAGCTGGGAGAAATTCAATGAACGCTTCAAGTGAACTGGGTAAATTTAAATGAGTAATTGAATACTCATTTAAATTTACCCAGAATTACCGAGTATAAAAGCTGGGAGAAATCCAATGAATGCTTTAAGTGAACTGGGTAAATTTAACTGAGTAATTGGGTTTACGAGTATAAAAGCTGGGTAAAATTCAATGAATGCTTCAAGTGAACTGGGTAAATTTAAATGAGTAATTGGGTTTACGAGTATAAAAGATGGGAGAAATTTGTTTAAAATTCGCGAAAGCTTACTTTATCCATAGACGCGACATTTGCATAAGAAAAATAAAAATTATTTCATACCTAGATGAATTACTACACATTTTAGTTGTTCTTTTAACATTTATACTCCAGAGATATGTAACAATTAAACACTCCAAGGATGTTCTCAATTAATTAAATATTACTTCGATCGCAATGGTTTCTGAACAAATTGTAATCTCTTTTTTAAAAAACAAATCACCTGCATACGAAATAAGATTACATGGATGTAGGCTAAGTTATAAAAACTACTGATTTCAAGAGCACTAAAATGAAGAAACAAATTTTATATTTACGAAAAAAGTAGGACGCATCAATTTCCTATGCTGTGAGAGGGATGAATTTCGTAGATAATAATTAAGATTTACTAATAGTTAAGATTTACTAATAGTAAAGATTTACTAATAGTTAAGATTTACTAATAGTTCAGATTTACTAATAGTTAAGATTTACTAATAGTTAAGATTTACTACTTAATCTTAATTAAGATAATAATTAAGATTAATAATTAAGATTCACTACGAAAGTGATACGTTTTTCGTCCAAGAAAAATACAATCATTTTCTTCCTTTTAGTGAGCCACAAAAATGTAATTTTTTAAATTTTATTTTATTTTGATATTATTTTGTGCGTATCTTTTTATTTTATCGATTCAAGTAATGTTTAAAGGTATTTTTTTCTTTAACAAATTATTTTGCGTTTTGAAAAGAAAAATATTGTTCCGATGGAAAAAACATTTTTTTTCACTATATCCCGAAGAACACTCGATTGTTGAGCTAACGTAAATGTCAAAAAGGATTATTTTACTCATAAACAACTCTAATTTATTGTAAGTCGAATAATATTTTTCTAGCACATAAATAAATTTTTTTGTTCTGCTATTTTGATATTTCCAACAGTATCTAATGCGAAGACCACAAGGGAGTTCATATTACTCTCAATTTGTTTTGTCTTTTGATAAAAAAAATAATTTTACTTGAACAATCATTACAATCACTTTTCAGAAAATCACATGACCCTCATGATATGAAGATTGTTCTAGGAAGTCATGGTAAATATAATAAAACGAAGTACGAAGTCGTAAGAGTGGCAGAGAGGATTATATCCTATCCAGATTTAGAGGGAGAACAGGTAAACCATTTAAGTTTCATATGGACTTTTTTCTGAGCTTGAGTTAAAAAAACTTTGTATCCCAAGTTTATTCAAAAATTCTACAAATAAAATGCATTTTTTAAAAATTTAGACTTGTTGAACATGCTATTCTATTTTTTATTTCAGCTGAGATGTATGACATTTACTCAGTTGATGACATTAAGTTACTTTATACTAAGTCATGACATAAGCTAAGTAAATGAAGTTACTTCTTACTAAGTCATGACATCAGCTAAATAAATGAAGTTACGTCATTTACTCTGCTGATGATTTGAAGCATACATGAAGCTACGCCTCTGAATCGCTATAAGCATCAGCAGTAAATATTTTTTGCAGAAATATGTCTGCAAAGATTATTACTGTAAGCTGAAGAACTAGAAAAAAATCGAATTCTTTTTGTACTATTTTATTTTATGATTCAAAGTCATTTTTCCTGATTTTAAGTATAAAATAAAATATCCATTCTAAACATTTGGAGAAATAAACAATGTACAAACATTTGGACAAAATAACAAATAAAATGTACTTTTTAAAAATTTACACATGTCAAACATGTTATTCTATTTTTCATTTCAGCTGAGATATATGACATTTACGCAGAAGATGACATGAAGTTACTTTATACTAAGTCGTGACATAAGCTAAGTAAATGAAGTTACTTCATACTAAGTCATGACATCAGCTAAGTAAATGAAGTTACGTCATTTACTCTGCTGATGATTTGAAGCATACATGAAGCTACGCCTCTGAATCGCTATAAGCATCAGCAGTAAATATTTTTTGCAGAAATATGTCTGGAAAGATTATTACTTTAAATTGAAGAACTAGAAAAAAATCGAATTCTTTTTGCACGATTTTATTTTATGATTCAAAGCCATTTTTTTTCTGATTTTAAGTATAAAATAAAATATCCATTCTAAAAATTTGGACAAATTAAATTATGTTATTCTATTTTTTTAAAAATTTCAGATGAGATACATGACACTTACCCATGACGTAGCTTTAGTGAAATTGAATGCTCCAGTAACTTATAGTGATGGCATTCAACCCGTTTGCTTGCCGAATATCGGTTGGGAAATTAAACCAGGAACGGTATGTTATTCCACTGGATGGGGAGAAACCAGAGGTAATAAAGGTTTTATTTTTCGGTTTAGGTGAGTCTTAACTATTAAACCACGGAACAATCTAGGTCATAAAGTCGATTCTTTTGCTTAACGTAAATTTCACATACATTCTACTTTTTTTTAAGCAAATCTGAAAAGAAATTTGTGCATACAACTTAAATCTAGAGCCACCAAATTATTTTATCATCGGTTTTCAGTAAATATTGCCTATAAATTTTAAAGGAACAACATTGATATTAATTGACCCCTAAATAATTAATTGATTAAAATAAAGGCTACGTAAGATTAAAGTTAACCATTTTAATTCATTTCCTCCTTATCGAATTTCTTTTATAACTTTTTGTATTATAGAATGTCAATTCACGTTCATCTTCCAAATACCGTGAAAAAACTAATGGCGGAAGCATGCAAAACATTTGCAAATATGAAAGCTAAAAATAAAGTAATAACTGCATTTGTCACTGTATTAATAATTTCATATATATAATGTAAAATAAAATGTAAAATGTCAAATATGATGTAAAAAAAAAGATTACATTGTGATTGAATTTTTTCTTTTTATTTAAGTGTAGATTTTTAAAGCGTCATATTGTCATTAAACTCCTTTTTCTAAGTAAAAAATTTTAAAGTACCATTTTTTTTACGCTTGTGAAATGGCTGAAAACAGACTAAATGATAAACAGGGTTTCTACTAAATAATATAACACTCCAAAAAATATTGATTAATTTTAATTGTTGGGAGAAACAATTGTTCTCGCATTATTCCCGTGACTGCACTTTCTATAAGTGCAGACGATTTCTGTTTAAAGCAAAATATTTAGAATCAGTTTAAAGATGGAATTGAAAAGATTGATGTTTGAACAATTTTTCGATCGTGGATTTTCTGCAGGGAGAATCTTTAAGCAGTTAAAATCTTTTAGGTTTAATAGAACATTTATATATAGAACTATANGGATACTAATAGCTGTAAAGATTGACCCAGGTCTGGTCATCTATGTTCAGTTCGTACAAAAGAGTGTACATTAAAAGAATTCGTTAAACGATACGACGATATCCACAACGTTTTGTTAATGAAAAAGCTGCAGAAGAGAACGCGAATTGGAGAACTATGAAAGTTATATTAAATGAAGACCTGGGCTTTTGCCCTTATCACAAATGAAAAGTTCAAGGTTGGAAAACTGCACAAAAATTAACAAGGTTACAAAGATGTAAGATATTGTTAAACCAGAGCTGTAACGAAAGTATTGAGAAAATAATTTTTTATGGTAAGAAAACATTTTGCTCAGAGTAAAGTTATAATGCTAAAAGTAATGATATATATTCAGCAACCTTCGGATGTATCTGAAAGTGTTCAAATTGTACAACGCTTTCAGAACAAGAATACCGCAATGCCTTGGGCTGCAGGGTCAAATAACGGAAAATTTCATCTGAAATTCATTAATAAAGGAGTAAAAATCAATGCTGAATATTACAAAAAGAAAGTATTGACTGCGCATTATTGCCACGTGATGACAGATTGTATCCCCAAAAGGATTGGATATTTCAGTAAGATTCTACACCATCACACTGAGCCAAAACAGCACAGGCTTGGCTCCATGTCAATTGCCCGAAGTTCATCAAGCAAGAAGATTGGCCCCTTTCTTCATTGAATCTAAATGCTTTAGACTCTTATATTTGCGGAAGTTTTGAGTTAATGCCAAGCAGCACAGAAGTTAAGACTTTCTCAGTGCTTCTATATAGCATGAATGGGACAAATTACCTATTAAATTGTTAAACTGATTCGTGCTGCCATCGGACAACAGTGTAAGAGATCATCTTGAAAAATCAATAAAGATGGTGGTCAATTCCAATTTTTTTTTAAAATTTTAACTTCCATTTATAGCATTCATCATATTTGCGTATTTATCACTTTCTATTTAATATCTGTACAATAAAGTGATTTGATATTTGTAACAGTATTTTGTAGCCACCACTCTGTAGTTCTAAATTCCTTGGTAATTTTCTTTAAATTTAGATTTTCAATGAGAAAACATTATAATTTTCATCAATATATTGTTATCAGATTGATTTAAAAACAAATCTACATGATTCTAAGCGATGGCAAAGAAAATATAATTTTTAAGCATCTTTTAAGACTTCGTCCTTTCATCTATTTATACCAATATTGCATATAGTTTTCTATTTTTTTTTAAAAACAAGATTACCTAGATGATATAGGCTCTGTTCTCATATGCCTCTATCCTACTGTGTTTCTCTATAAGACTTGATCGAAAAGACTAAAAATTATTTTCCTCAAAATCGTTATGAGTATAACTTATATTTCAGGCTCTGGATTTGCAGCTGTTCTTAAACAAACTGAGCAAATTGTACAGTCAAAAGATAACTGTTCATACGACTTAAAAACACAAGTGTGTGTGTCTAAAACCAACCAATCTCCTTGTCACGTAAGTATGTCATTCCTTCTACAAACAGACTAAACTACTTAGAGAAAAATCTTAGAGAAGTAAATTGCTTAAATATATAGTGCCTATTAAATAAATAAGAAACTGAAGTAGTAAGATATTACCAGATAGAAAGCTTCATGCTCTTCAAAAATATACGAAATTGAAATGACAATCGACATGTTTCAAGAGAATTATTTTAGAAATGGACACCTGCTTTTGATGCATTTGAAACATATCAACTATCATTTCAATTTTGTAAATTTTTAAAGAGCATCAAGTTTTCTATCAGGTAATATAGACCCTAGCTTGCGTTTGCATGTAATATTACAACAATAACGATCAAGTAATCGTTATTCTATAGAATACATAGTTAAATCTTGACATAATCAATAATTTTATAAACTTTAACTAGTTCCATTCATTAAATTCCTAGTTATTCTATGAAATAACTCATTTCACATTTTAACGGTAACATATACATATGAAAATAGTCCAATTCTAAAAGATTTTGGGGTCACAGAAGTTAACCTATCTCATTTAAATGATCCAAACAGTTGGGCGAGAGTTGAATTATTTTTAATGATTCTATTTCTCATTACCATGTACAGGTTTCTAATGATATGATTAAACGAATGTTAAATTAGTTGCATTTATCGTCTGAAGAAAAAAAAATTTTGTTGAGGAAAAAGAGAAAATTTACATTTTATTGGGATGCGATTTAATGTGGAAATTATGTAATGGAAATAAATTAGAACTTTTTATAAGGTTTTATTGTGACGAAACTTTATTCGGTTATTGTATTAGTGGAGTTACGCAATCTATGAATTTAGGAATTCATTCAGTCAATGTATGTATTTTGGTAACGAAAACCGTAACGAACTTTGATGATGATTTAAATATTAGTTTAAGGAAACTTTTGATGTATCTTCTGAAGATAAAAATTGTTGTTCATTGATCGATATTTTAGAGGCAGATTTAAGTCTTAACCCTAATTTGTTAAATCTTTTTTTTTTGCGATTTCGAGAGAATTTTATTGGGATTATAACAGATATAGAGAAGGCATTTTTGCTCATTTCTTTAAATGAAAACGAAAAGAAGTTGCCTGCTCATTCTTTGGTTAAATCAGATGCCGTCAAGTGAGATTAGGAATTTTTGGAACACTAAAGTTACATTCAGGGTTAAGTCTTCGCCATTTCCTTTGTCCGCTACTGTTAAGCACCATATAAAGAAATTTAAAGATAAGATTCATACGAGTTATATAATTAAAGATAAGATTCACTCTATGTTGATGACCTAATTACAAATGTCAATAATCTGGAAGATGCTATTGAGTTGTGTAAGGAAGCAAATAACATTATTATACCAGTCAAAATGGACTTACGTGTTTTTAAAACAAACTGCTTTGAACTTTCGGAATACTGGCAAGAAACGAAATTCCAAGAACCTTCAAACATAGTTTGATTCCTAATAAAGGATTAGGCGTCATATGGGAGGGACTCCATAAAGGATGAACTGAAATTGGATTTATCTTCCAAAAACTTTTTTTTCTCTAGCCCTATTTCAGTGGTTCATGCGATTTTGCAACTATCATGCATAATTTTTGACCCTCTTGGTTTGATAACTACATTCACGATTCGAGCAAAGATATTGTTGCAACTTACTGGGCAAAGAGGACTTGGATGGGAAAATGAGTTGCCTAATGATTTGAAAAGAAAATGGAAGAAATGGACGCTTAAAATACAAAACTGAAACACATTTTCGACTTGAAAACTTCGATTTTCATATACAGATTTTCTGTGTTGCCAATGAATTAGCTTTCGGAACTATAGTCTACCTCAAATACGTCAATAAGTGAGAACTTTGCAAAGTTCGTTTCGTCTTTGCAAAGGCTCGAGTTGCACTTGTTAAGCAAATTTACGTCATCGAAACTAGAGCTTTAATCCGCTACCCTTGGTCCAAGAGTGGTTAACTCCCTACGAAGAGTTTTCACATAGCGAACAATTATATTTATAGAATGATTCTAAGGTGACTTTACACTGGATTGAAGGGTGTGTTAATAATTGGAAATCCTTTGCTAGGAACAGAGTAATGTAAATCCAAGCGAAAACTGAACCAAAAAATTGGAGACATTGTTGTGGTATTGATAATCCATCTGATTCGTTGACACGTGGTTGCAAATCAAGCGAACTGAAAGAAGGCGATATATAATGGCATAGACCAAATTAGTTTAGCATTGAAAATTCAGAATGGTATGGTAGTAAAGGTTTCAATTCTTTGATTAGCGAAAACTTGGACTACGAAATTCTTATTGAGAAATGAATCAAGATCATGAACTTTAATTTGAATGCTTGAAAAGAAGAAAGCCAGTCTAATATGTTGAACGTCATAAATAAAATTTCCTCATAGACTAAATTGCAAAGAGTATTTGCCTGGTGTATAAGATTTGTTGTGAATTGCAAGTTTACACTACTACCGTTAGTGGTTGTTTAACGACTGCAGAGATTCGAAACACTAGTAATTCTGTTGTGAAGATAGTTCAGGAATATGCTTTTAGTACTGAAATGGAATATCTGCGGAAGGAGAAGATACTTCCAATAAATAACATACTTTGTTTGTTACTGCTTTATCTTTGAAATTAAAGCTTGAATGAATGTAAAAACATTTTATGAATCCCTTAAGGATTCACGAGAGGGATGTTTCTGTCTGAAATAATTCTCGATATGAATATAGATGGTAGATCAAAGTCACGTGATTAGGCAATGCTTATTTTTATGTTTTATGCATTTTGTAGTTTAGGCGTCTGTGTCGCAATTATGTGTCTGTGTCGCAATAAAGTTGCCGTTTTTGAAACTGGCATGGAAATTCTCGAAAAATTATTTTCCCGAGAAGGAATCTTTTACAAAGCTGATTGGTAAACATGTTTTTCCGTAACGCCTAATTTAAATACTTGGATGAATAAATTATTAACTAATTTGTAAAAGTCTATTTTCGAAATAGGTGGAAGGACTTCTTAAAAACTTAGGTATTGTATCTTATTAAAACTTTGCACACTTCTCTCTAAATATAATTGATTACTAATTACATGATTGATTTTCGTTTCCCTTAATCACAACTTATTGTACATGGCCATACAGTCTAGGTACCTCCCCCCCAAAAAAAAATCACACTTTCTTGCATATAATTCTATTAGCAGTTCAAACGACATTTAAAAAACCTTCTTCTCATTATGAGCTACACTTTCTCTCTAAAAAGAAATTATTGTTTTTTCTTCTTAATAATAAGCTATCACTAGTTATTCTGTCCAATGTGAGGCTACTTTTATTAAGAAGTATCCGAAAATTAAATTAAGCTATCATGTGTTTTCCTTTCTGTTGCGAGGTTACTTTATTTAAGAAGTATCAGGAAATTAACTGTCAAATTCTAAACTTTTTGTGCGAGAGTTTCATAAAATATCAAGCTTTTAGGCGAAATTAAAGTTTGTATGAAATCTGGTGTTTGGGAATTACACCGGGAATTACTGTATAAAAAATATTGAAATAAAAAAAGCTGTAATAAATATTTCTTAGTAATAACATTTGTAATTTCTTAGAGTTCTGTGAAAATTTAATGAAGCATAAGTCGGAGTCGTACTCAAAAATTTAAATTTACCGACTCCTCAACTCTGAATTTTACATAGACTAGGCTCCAAATTCCAGTTTTTGTTAAAACTTATAACTCCAATTTCATATAGAATTTCACATTATAATAGTAATTAAATTGCAAATATTTTTAATTTCAGGGAGATAGTGGGGGACCACTATCATGCAGATTTGGTACTAAATGGTGGGTGTTTGGAGCTACAAGTTTTGGCACTGACTCCAACATGATGACCAGTCTCTGTGGAACACCCAACGCAAAAGGAGTTTTCTCAAGCATAGCAGATAAAGGCGATTGGATTCGTAAAGTGATAGAGAAGTTAAACTGAATGTTTTAAATAGTGTTATAAATTTACAGATAAAATAAAATAAATTATTGTCTTCTCTGTGTTTTTTTAAATTATAAATTGAAGAGTTTTTTTTCTTTTTTTTTGATGCTAGAGTTTGAGTGCCTGAAACTCTAGCACCCGTATTCACCACCACGAGTTATCTGCGGGTTATACATGGGTACGAGTTAAACCAGGGGTTAAATACGAAACGTTATTCTCCATCCAAAAACCACGGGTAACTCGCGAATTCTATCGTCAAATCTGGCCCGTAGTTTACTTTCCATTTCAGAGGAGTTATCGCCAAGTTAACCACAGATCGAGCTTGTAAAAAAACAAAATGAACAACTGTTATCACTGCTTTCGAGTTAGAAAATATTGAATTTCTTGAAACTGTTGTTAGGAGGAAAAGGTATGTCCAGGCTATAAGAAATAATAATTTAGAAGAGTTAAATGACATAGATTTTTTGACAGAAAGAATTTTTCCTCTTTGAAAGAATTAATATTCATATTTCACTGTCAGTCGCAAATCGCTACAGAAATTGTTTTATCTGTTGTTTTATCTGTTGTTGTTTTTCATTTGGCAATCTATACATAATAATAAACGCGGCTGTGAGTGTGTCTGTCTGTCTGTAATCACAATATATCGCACCTGAAACCTCGCCCAGGCACGAAACTCGGCACATAATTGTGTTTTGACATAACGAAGAAGTATTTTTTTTCTTTTTCAAAAATTGGGATTAGTTTTTTAGTTATCAGTCATTTTGTAAGAAAATCTATGCTTTTTCGTCTTCAAAGAGCCATATTCAAAAAACTATTAAAAAATGCATATATTTTTCTCCACTCTTATAAATGTATGCTAATGCGAACCTTACAATTGAAATATTAATTTTCGACAACTTAAACCAATAATATACGAAGGAATTAATAATTTAATTGTAAGGTTCGCATTAGTTTACATTTATCAAAGTGGAGAAAAGTTTAACTTTTGTATTAAAAATGTGGCAACATATTCGATACGTAAATAGAACTCTTCGCTTTGATATGACAATCGCTTTTCTGCTATGTTTTAAAAAACTTTATTTGTGAAAACCTTTAGCGTGGCGGACAGCTATGAAATAAATATTAAGGATACTCAAATGAGAGATTGTTCTAGCTATCCTATATTATATTTCAATGCATTTTATTTAACAAATCAGTTTAAAAGCATATTTCAAAGTATATTTTATTCAAAATCAAGTTTCAAAGTATATTTCATAATAAAATATAAATGTGATGATTATTAGATTCACAAAGAAAAAGTCGAAGTATCGCCTAGTGTAAAAATCTATTTTTACAAATGCTAATAAAGATGTATTTTTTATGCAACAAGAGCCTTTGGTTTAATTTTTAAAATTGAAAATTTTTATCATTGTATTTATTACAGAAATAAATCTAAACAGATGTAAGATAAGTTCATACTTTTTTGAAAGTTAAATAAGAGATGCATGTATAATAATTTTATTGTAATTATACTTTATTTTATATAATTGGAAATATTGACTTCCTAATGTTCAATAATTTAAATAAATGTGTGTTCTTCATTATAAACTATCAATGGTATTAAATAAATGTATAAGCTTTAAAATAAATTATGATACAACATAATCTTGATTACATTGAAGTAAAATTCCCCAGTTTCTTCAACAAAAAACATCGATTATGTTAGAACGATAAAATATCAAGCACATTGCATGTTAAATTTCGAAAGTAATGTAAAATGCGTTTAAAATCTAAGTTTTTCAAATAAGGAAATAATGATTCTGGCACCAAATATATTTCAAAACACGTTGATAACAGATTTTTGGTGTCGATAGAAATGGGGTACCCAACGATTTTCATATTTGCTATGTCAAAAATAAAATTATTTTCTCCTTTTCAAGTGCACTTGAAAAACTTAGTTCTTAAAGTTTGAATCTCCTTTCTCTTAGAGTCTTAGGCAATCTCATTGTTTTAACGCTTTTGATGTTTTGATACCGAAGAAGGTTCATGCTTATGGAGCCGAAACTGTAGTATGCACATTCATTTGTTCTTTACGTACATTGTTTTTATTGCATTAACTTTTAATTAATATATATTTAGGCGAGTTTAGATTGTTGTAACAGCTTGATTAGATTTTTTTACAACCTAAATTATACGTTTAAAGCTTTCATTTAATTATATTTGAAAAAAATTAACTATACACATGATGCCAAAGTTGTAATTCTTAACATTTTTTCTTATTTTTGCGATTTTTATATTTTTTTTTCTTATATTCATAGATCCTTATATTTCTTAAAAAAAAAAACTTAAAGATGCTTAAATTGTGTAAAACAAAGGTTGCAACTAAAATTTAGAAAACTAAATTTTTTTCCTTTTTAAAAATTTTTTAGTGTTTAAATTATGTCTTTAAATTTCAGTGCAAGTATTGGAATATTTCATTGAAATATCATGCTAGGACGAAAATAAATATGGAAAAAAAAGAATTAAATGAGAAATTTGAAACACGTGTTTTCTGAAATGAGAGTGCTTTAATTAGTGACATAGCTTCAATCGTTATTATTTTAGGGTGACAGTGGCGGACCCCTTTCCTGTAAACTAGGAGATAAATGGTTTTTGATGGGAGCTGTAAGATATGCCAGTGCCACCAATTTCATGAGCGGCCTCTGCGGATTGCCAGAAAATAGAGTTGTGTTTGCTGCAACAGCTGACAAAGCTGATTGGATAAAGAACATTATTAATAAATATAACTAAATACATTTTGTATGTATATCAGACAGTCAAATAAAATATTTTCTTATCTATGCGCATTTTAAAATATATAAGTGGTTTCCCTTTACTAGACTAAACTGTAGACTGCTAAGCTGTAGACACTAATAACTTAGACGTCATATTTTCTTTAAGCCTAATGAGTCTATGACAGATATCGATAGGTTCTTTTAATTTTAAAGCCACACTTAGCAGGTTTTTTTTTGTTGCTTGGAATAAATTATATTTTTAAAAAATCATATTAGAAATAATCTACGGCTATAAAAAGTTAATTAATCAATAAAATATTATGATTAAAAAATTAGTTAGTGCGTCAAAATTTAGTTAATCCGCGAACTTAATTTTAAAATATTTCAGGAGCCATATATACAATTTTTGCAATATGTGAGTAGTTAAGGAATTCTCATTCTACATGAACCTTTCAAATTACAAATTGATGGTTTCTGAAGGATCAAAATTTTTAATGGAAACATTGAAGGGTTTAATGAAAATTCTGTTTTCCAGAGTCCTTCTGCATTGATTTATTTTTATCATTAAGCCATTTTCAGAAGGAAAAAAAAAAACGATTGGAAAAAGTGACGTGTTGTCTCATTGATTTACCTCGCCACTTTTTTTTATTGATTCGCCACATGTCGAGTATATTCATGTATTTTCAGGTCTAACGGTAACTAACTAATCAGACAGTTTGAACTCGACAATTTTGAATGTCTCAAAGTTCTCTCCGGCTTTTATCTGTAAATAAATCTAGTTTTATATCCATATTGCTTTATATCATTGCAATCTAAGCAATATTGATTCAAACTGGTTTCTTACTGATGAAAGTTTTTTTAAGTATTTTGAATTCATCGGTACAAAAATGGGCTTTTCTATCTTGTTATAAGGTAATTGCATGTATAGAACAAATACTGATTTACTGTAGCGAGCAATTCCTTTAGTATAAATGCAAAAAATGATTTGAATACAAATATTGCATATTTGTACTTGAAATAATATTACATTTGAATGGATATGTTTTAACAATAAAATTTGACTTCAAAAGGCTGTTTTTCTATTCTATTTACAATGCTACACGAAGAAAACTTTTCATAAAAAAAATAGTCACTAAATAATCAATGTTATGAGCAATGGAAACCGCAAGCACTGTAATTATTTCAATATTACTTAGTAATAGTTTACAATCCACGATTAAGTAATAAATGAATGTATTCAAAAATGAACTAAGAACCAATCACACTGGGAAAAAGAAAGAATGCAGTAAGCTGAAGTTGACGTCAAAGAATATCACGGTAACTAGAAATGGGGTTTCAGCGAAATTATACAAAATTTATCGCCAAACCGAGGGGCCCAAGATTCTTGGTTGTAGCAAACTTGATTGCTTCATTAGATACGGTTTTTCTATCAAAATGCGTGATAAAGCGTTTCACCTTACGAAAAGATAGTATATATTTTTTTATGCAAGAAAGGTCTGAATTATTTTCAAAAAAGGATGAGTGCGTTAAAAAGCATCCAGATAATCAATAATTATTTGGGACATTATTTGAAATTCTTTTGTTGAGTGAGTTACTCAATACACAACAATTTTCAACCTTAATACACTTTATAATAAACTTGTCTGATATTTTTTATGGTTATATTAATTAGTAGTTAAATCTACGCCAGTTTTAAGTTTATATAAACAAATAAGTAAAAATAAGGGGGGGAAATCAACTCTAAGAAGTTCCTGCAAAAGAGATTATCGCCTGCTTTTTATTATTTAATATTATTATGTTGTTTTTTTATTAAAGCTTATGCCTGCATGTCTTTTTTCTGAATCTAACAATTCTCTTATTAGTGGGATTTGTGCTTAAGTTTATCCAGTCAATGAAATTGATCTAGTCGAAAAATTTGCTGACAGCTGACATGAATTTCAATATTTAATTTGGAAAAAAAATTGCGCACAAAATGAGGTGTAAAAGCATTTCGAAGACACGTAGCTCGTAACTTTTACTTACTTTTACCAGATGTGTTAACAGTTTACAAGGTGTGTTAACCTTGAATAAAGTTATTTTTTAAATCACAACTATTATCAGTTTAAATTCGAGAATTTTTTCTGTTGAATATCTTGCCTTTCTAACTGATAAAATAATTTTTTTTTAAAATTTTCTATCTTATTAAAGTTTTCACAAAAAAATTTAAAACTAAGTTACATGCGTTTCTGGGAAATTACATTACATTTATTAATAAAGTTTTAATTAAATTAAAGTTTTAATTTAATTAAATCGGGCCAAATTAAAAAAAAATAAAACAAGGAAAAAAAGAATGAAAATTTATATATAATGCTAAAAACTATTTTATTGCAGTATATTCAGCATTTTAGCTTCAGTATTTTCAGCACTCCATGCGAATATAACATAACAAAATGAAGAACCCGTGTAAAAATTCAGCGTGTTCAACATTTTGTTAAGAATTTATCTAAGCACTTTTTATAAATTCAGAAAAAAAAAAGAATCTTACCTATTAGAAAATAAAAATTTTCTATTTTTAATTTTATGATAATTTTGAATATTTATTCACGCAGGTCCACTTTTCTAGAATCGACTAGGTTCGCATTCTAATCTGAGCTGTTTATCTGCCACGCTACCGAACCACGTCCTCCTCGGTTACCGAACCTCAATTCACTGAGCTTTTTCTTCCCGGTGCTGAAATATTCATTGTAGGAAATGTGATGTCATAATCCGATGAACAACTGCAGTGAAAAACAGGCTTAAAAACATCAAAATATGATTGATTAAACAAAATTAACAGCATCTCGACTCATCTTATGAAAAAAATTGAATTTTTGTTCTTCAGAAGTACAGTTTTCTGCGTCGTATCTAACAAAAAAATTCGTTGAAATAAACAAAAACACGTGTAAGCGCTTTAGAAACAGACCTACAAAACTATCAATAAATTAAATAAACATAAAATCAAAAGTTTTGCACCCAATATATTAAAAACAAGATGAATTAAAAACTATGTTCCTATTGTTACGGTGGCAGTAACAGAATTTTAAAGTTTTAAAAGAAGTTGAGTAAAAGCAACTAATACTTTTTTTCCTTAAAGCGTAACCACCACTATAAAAAAAACTTTAAAAGACGAAGAAACAGTATTTTTAGTATAAAAAAACGTTGGTGCAAAGTTGAGAAGAAAAAAAAAATTACATACATTTTCCACAGAGAAGCGATTCAGCTTTACTGACGGTGGTCTGACGCGATGAGAAACAAACCCACGACGCTTGAGTCTTCTAGTCTTTGCTTAGCGTTCTAATCCCATTTTATGTTCCGTGAGGGATCCACGTTTTTCAATCTGAATATATTACTTAAATTAATTAAAATCATTGGCATCAATAATAATATGGCAATTTTTTATATTTCTCTTAATTAAACTAAGTGAAATAAATATTTTTTGATCGAATCGAGTTATAAACTGGCAATTATCACTGATGTTACTTTTAAAATATGTGAAAAATTAAATGGTCTATTGTTAAATTTTAAACAATGGCTAATTTTAAACAATGGCTTAACCAATCAGAATATTCCTTTTCGTTTTTTGCTCATCTTACTCGAACAGTCCGTCGTAGAATGTTCTTATGTTGACAGTGACCTTCCTCGTATTTTAAACTAATTGTATGCCAAATTTCATCCATTTCGGTTGAATGATTTAGGAGTCTATAACGGAAATCCCCCCCCCCATACAGACAGATATTCATTCTTATAAATATAGTTATTATTAAATACTTTAAGACTATCAGTTGGAAAAATAATAAAACGTTTATTTAATTGAGTTTGCTTTTGAAAACAATCTTTTGAATTATCACCCTCTAATATCTTGTTTCCAATTGATAATGATGAGTAAATTAATTATCAATTTTAGGAGTTTTTCTTTTCGACCTGACAAAAATTAAAAGTAGAAAGCTCAGGTAAAAAGATTACAAGCCTATAGCTTTCAAAATATAAGCTTGCAAATTTTTTTATTTATGTGAGGAAATTTGGACAATATAATTACATATAATTTATAAATTACATATAACTTTCAACTCCCTCTAGTGGCTCCTGTTAGCATTCATGACCTCGTGATGGTTTTTATGTCTTTTTTTTTAAATATCCAATTTGTGCTTTCATTTCGGCCTTGTTAATTAAAAATCTCTGTATAGTTTCAATTTCCAGATAAGACATTTTACAAACTAGCACTATGGGCCAGAAGACCATGATCTTTGGTCAAAAGTCAAAAATTAAATTTTCAACTAAAATATGTGTAGGCTGTTTTAATATAGCCCAAATTAAGTATTCATAATCATTCCAAACATTATAATTTGCTTTTTGGATGGACGAGAGTACAATGTAATGAAAAATATGTTAAATTTTTTTAAATGTAACTTTTAAATTTTTATTTCAGAATTATACATAGAAATTTCACCTTATTGTTACATTTTTATCAGAGTAATTAGTTTGAAATCATAATAAAATTTTTCAATCTGGTGGATTAGTTAATACTCTTGACAAACTTATAGTTTATATATTATCATTTGACATTTCAGAATGTTTGAATGACTTTTGAATTTTAGTTCTAAAAAGTTCCACGAAGTAATTAGCTAAACTTTTTTTGTTGTCTTCTTTAATATTTCTTCCTTCGAAAAAACTTGCCCCATTTTGCTCGCATTTGCAAAGGTGGACTAAATATACCGATAAACAAAAATTATGTTTTTTTTCTTCATGTTTTCATGCTATTTTGAAATTAATTCGCGTTACTTTGTAATATTACTTCGGAAATATAATTTGCTTTTAATTTTTAGTATAAAATTACGAGAATTATTAAATTTCCATTGCTATATTTAATTATTTAAACGTACTATATTATTTTTTTTTTATTTTTGCTCGCCATATTTCAGTCGCCATTTTGTTTTTTTGGGTATTTTTAGTGTATTTCAAAGTAATGTTCCATTTCAATAAAATTAATATTTTAACATTAAAATATTAAAATGTGTACTAAAATAAAAATTTAATTTACATCGTAGCTCTTTAATTTATGTACGTCATCCTTGAGTATATTAATATATTTTGTACGTTCATTTTGGCAATTCAATTTAGCAATTCGTTAAGCTTGGTATAAGTAATCTTTCTTTTTTTAATCTATTTCAATATAATGTGGCATAAGAATACTTCGGATAAATTATATTTTATTTAATGCTTAGATTAGTGCTTTTAACGATAACACTTTTCCTACACAATCTGTTCGAGATATTGTGAGAACATTTTCAGCTGTTTTCAAAGAACAATTAAAGTTCGTTCACAATTTTAAATCAGTTGCTTGATTCCTGGATCTCGTTAAGATGAAGTCGTTATTTTGCATCCTATTTATAAGTTGCTATGTAGGTAAGAAAATTTTTTTATAAAGATTTTCAACTATTGGAAGGATAATATACTTTTTAAATGTTTAAACGTAAAAAGAGGTACTTATTTATTTTTTGCTAAAATTTGAAACAGTCTGTTCTAAAATTCACACAAAAATTTGAGAGTTTTTAATTGATTCGAAAAGTATAAAGCAATATAGAGTTATGTATTGGTTATTGATAAATGACATCAATGATTTTGATGACATATATGCTTTATTTTGGCGAAATTTTCAGTTACCATTTTATACTACAGTGGCAGTGACCATTTTACAAAATAAATTTTTTTACTTCAGAAATGGATAATTAGTGACTTGTTGGCATAAACATTAGACTTGAGAAAAAAATTCAAAAAAATAGTTTATACAATTTAAAATAGAGAACAACCAGGGATATTTAAAATATTGCACATCAACAAAATCGTGTTTTTTCCATGGAAATCCAATTTTATTGATAGTTGATAATTTACAAATTATTAACTATCTATTTTTGAAGGCACGATTTTATTGAACAAATTTAACGAAACTAAATTCTTGTGTTTATTTTGGGAAACTATTAATGTTTTAGATGAGACGTAAGAATGACTTGAGAAATTAAAGAAAAATAAAATAAACGATAACAAATGGAATATATCGTTTTTTGTTGTATTTTTTCAATAATTGCTTGATTCTTTTAACTAAGAATATCTACTTTATCAAGAATTATCTGAGATTAAGATAAAGTGAGTAGTACTAGCAAGATTTTGAATTAGATAACGTACTTTTATTTAATGTATAATTAGTTAACAACCGTTTTTAAAAATTTAATTGTTGAATTTCATACGTTTTCATACCGACCTACTCTCTGTATTTCTTTTCTGTATACCTTCTTAGTTTCAAACTTCTAAGTCTTATAGATTTTGCGATGCAAAGCAAAATGTAACGTAAAACGAAAAGAGTGATATAAAAATTCGTGAAAAAGCATTTAAAATTGAAATTACTTTCAAACAAATTATAATTTTGAAAACAAATTGTGCTAAGTTCAAAAAATAAATTCCCTTTCAGCATACCAAATTTTAACTCTGAAGTTCCATTCCTGTAGCCTGTAGAGCGGTCCGTACGGTGTTTTTTCTTACAAGTTTAACAGTTATTAATTTTCGAACTAATTGATAATGTTAATTTTTTTTTATGGGAGAATGGAGTCAAATGTAAAAGTTTTTACTTAACTATTTTTAACTAACAATAAATCCAATATATTACTAGTATTAATTGACAGACGAGTAAAATAGACTATCCTCCACTAGAAAAAAAATAAATACCTTATTTTAAATGTTATTATATTAGTTATTAAAAATTTTTGACAGTCGTGCATTTGGACAATTGTCCCCACTTACTTGGTCAATTGTAACAGTTCATAAATTCAACTTAAACATAGTTAATTATACATATTATCATAGTTATGATATATTTTTTTAAGATCAAAATAGCAGTGATATTTTAGGAAAAAAAATAATAATGAGCAGAGAACTAAAGTATTAAACTTTTAACTTTAAGGGGTTAAAAACTTTAATTTACACTACCGGTCAAAAGTTTGCGAAAATTTTGAAATCTACGAAAAAATGGTCCAAATTCAAATGTTCATAGAACTGCGAAAAATCATTCAAATGGCATGAAAATTTGATATGTTCTAAAGTGAACCCTCTACATTTAGTTACATATAATCAAATTGCAATACTTTATTTTTTGCGAACTGAATCCAGCTTTTCATCATGGGTTGTTTCTATGGTGAAAAAAGTTGTTAAGTTTGAACACTTGCCAAACTTGCAAAAAATATTTTTTGTACTTTCTGTTAATAGAAAATAGTTATTTGAACAGTTCTATGTAAGCCCTCAAAATTTCAAATCGATTCGATTTTTTTTGACGAAGTTATAGAATTTTGAAAAACATGTGTACTTCTCTCGATTTTTGAGCATTCCACATATGCAGTCTTCTGGTCTATACATCTTCTATCAAAGAACTTTTTAATTTTTATGTTTCTATATTTTCAAATAATTAATATTTATCATAAAACAAATACTCTTATTCATTATTGTAATTATTATTGTTTATATTTATTGTTTATATTTATTGCTTACCTGTATTAGTTTTGTTGTGATATTTTTACTTTATATTAAATTAAATTAAAAAGTTATAACAATAATTACATAAATAATTCTAAAAAAATAATAACAATAGTATAAAAAATTTGCATTTTTATTAAACTATTTTATTTACAACAGGTCAAATATTTAACATATTCTTATTCGTATTTTGTAATTAAATAAATTAACATTTAAATCTTAGATTCCTCGAACCATCCACCTTTTGCTTTTATTATAGCCTTACATATGCATAGCATTCGTTCTAATAAACCATTAATCACTTCAAGTGATATAGAGTTCCATTCCTGTTGTAAAATGTCCCATAACTGACTTCGATTCAAATATCAGAGCATCGTTTGCAAGAACAAACAAATTTTAGATGAAATGTGACATCTATGAGATATTGTTTTAATTATATTCATAATAAGTTCCTTGTAGTAACAATAATTACAATAATAAATAAGAATATTTGTTTTATAATCAATATTAATTATTTGAAAATATAGAAAACATTAAAATTAAAAAGTTCTTTGGTAGAAGATGTATAGACCAAAAGACTGCATATGTGGAATGCTCAAAAATCGAGAAAAGTACACATGTTTTTCAAAATTCTATAACTTCGTCAAAACAAATCGAAACGATTTGAAATTTTGAGGGCTTACACAGAACGGTTCAAATAACTATTTTCCATTAACAGAAAGTACAAAAAATTTTTTTTGCAAGTTTGGCAAGTGTTCAAACTTAGCAACTTTTTTCACCATAGAAACAACCCATGATGAAAAGCTGGATTCAGATCGCAAAAAATAAAGTATTGCAATTTGATCATATGTAACTAAATGTAGAGGATTCACTTTAGAACATATCAAATTTGCATGCAATTTGACTGATTTTTCGCAGTTCTATAAACATTTGAATTTAGACCATTTTTTCGTAGATTTCAAAATTTTCGCAAACTTTTGACCGGTAGTGTATGCTGTGGAAGGTGACAAATAAAATAATGCGCATGAAACATAATATAAATGATATAGGAAACTACTGGTGGTTTTTAAAGAGTTAAGTAATGGTTTGTAAACATAAGATTATTTGTTTTCAGCTGTTACATTCGTCCCTTTACTTATTGTTACAATCGTCCCCAAGACACCATTTATTTGTTAAAACAATGCTAGTTGATTAACAAAACTAATCTTCTTTTAAATATTAATTAAGGTGTCCACATACATATTCAGTTATTAATTTTTATTTGTTTAAACAAAATTACTTTGTTACAGTATAATATTCTAATACCAAAAAAAAGTACTTACGTAGAGTGAAAATATCTTTTGGGATGTAATTCTTTCAAAAGTACATAAAAATGGTTGCCAGCTGGGGTGTACATGTAGACTTATTAAATACACCTCGTGCGCCACCTGGGAACCAAATCTAGAATCTTACACTCGAAATTTTTACTCTGTTACAACCTGTTACAATTGACCCCACTCTCCCCTACACTGTACATTTTTCTACGCTCCTTTGTACTTTCAAGTTTTTTACAGTTTTTGGGCCACAAAGAAAGCCACGCGGTTAAGTTGAACAACCAAACCGCTGAGGCGGCTCTAACGATTTTTGAATGTAAGAAAAGTTTCTCACACTACGACTGATAAACATCCAAACAACTTGTTCTGATGAAATACAAATCATGTTGATTTAAATGAGTACTGAAATGATATTTCTTTTGTTACAGCACTTGTTTTCAGTATCCCGTATGATCGACAGTGTCATATACTGTATGAACACGATGCAACTATTAAAGGTGAAGTCATCAGTCCCTTCTATGATGAAGGAGCTTATCCAGATGGTTTGTGGTGTGAATACAGGATAAGGGCACCACAAGGACATGTTAGTATATTCTTACTGAATTATTGCAAATTGTAAAAAAATAGTTTTGATTTAAATTTCGGTAATAATTCTTTGAGCATGCATCAATCATTTTACTATATAATATTTAAATAATACAAAACTTTAATGGAACGTTAACAATTTGAAAATAAATATGCGAAATGTTCTGTAAGAACCTCCTTTAAATATACATAATTGGAATGCATCAAATATGTTATAAAAAAGTATACACAAATGTGGTCATAAATTAATAATTGTCGGATCGCTAGTGTGGAATGAAAACTTCTAACCAGTATGATTGCCGCATGAAGTTTGAGCCCAACTCTTCATACGGCAATGTCAAAACTTCTTAAATGTCTTCCTCGGATAGATAAAATTTAATTACGAAACGTATACACATAAGAGATCTCAAATTAATATTTGGCGAATCGCTAATGAGGAAAGCGGTAATAAAAAACGTCTTCAAAATCAGTTTGATTGCCGTTAGAAATTTGAGCTTATATTAACTACCGTTTTCAACTCCTTTGTGTTTTTTCTGGCAATGTCAAAAGTTCTTTATAGCTTCTCATGTAAAAATTTCACAAGAACTAAATAATTTGAATGCCATTTTCATTTTGAAACTTTGCACTAAAAAAATTATGTTTCTTTTTATTTCAATACAGAGAATTAAACTAACTTTTAAGGATCTAGATATTGATCCTACTGGCGACAGCTTAGTAGTTTATTCAAAAGCCAAGGAAAGTATTTTGGCTGAATTTAGTGGAAGCCAACTTCCAAAGCCTGTTCTCTCGAAACCTGATGAAAGTGAGATAATGCTTCTGTTTTTCACTGACTTCATGATTGCAGGCAGGGGATTTATAATACAATATGAGTCAGCGCCTGATATGGGTAAGTAATAAAAAAAAATTCTATTAATTTTAAACAAACGCGAAAATAGTTTTTTTTTTCAATTGTAATTTTTTTTATGTCATTTATAAATAAAAAAGCAACCAATAGCAAAGATATCATATTTAGTTGTGTCGATTTCTAAGATAAAATGATTTTTATGCTATGAGAACAATTGAGAAAGTATTTTTAGCAATACTGCATGCTATGCTTTAAATACTGCTATTCAAAGCTACACTCTATGACAAAAAAATCAACGCACCAAGAAGCAATCATCCGATTGCTTTGAAATTTCGTATGCATGAATGTTTTGAACAGATATGGCTGGAATGATGCCGACTGGGGACGTATAGTCTTTAGCGACGAATCCCGCTTCCAAATGCGTCCTGACGATCATCGAAGGCGTGTTTGGAGACTCGCAGGGCAGACGGGGGATCCTGCCCTCGCTATTGCACACCACACCGGCCCTCAACAAGGCATTATGGTCTGGGGTGCCATTTCCTTTGACAGCCGGACCCCTTTGGTCGTCATTAGAGGTACACTTACTGCACAGCGGTACGTCGACGACATCCTAAGACCTGTTTTGCTACCGTTCCTTTTGCAGCGCCCTGGGCTGGTTTTTCAGCAGGACAATGCCAGACCACATACGGCACGTGTTGCTATGAACTGTCTGCAAGCTTGTCAAACTCTTCCTTGGCCTGCCAGATCACCAGATCTCTCTCCCATCGAGCATGTCTGGGATATGATGGGAAGGCGATTGCATCTGGCACGGAATGTTGATGACCTCGTTCGACAATTGGATCGAATTTGGCAGGAAATACCGCAAGAGACCATCCGGGAGCTTTATCGGTCTATGCCACGCCGTGTGGCAGCTTGTATCCAGGCTAGAGGCGGGTCAACACCTTATTGAACTTGTTACTGTAACTTTGCAATAAATTATTCAATTGTTCTGAAATTTTAATCATTCACTATTCCGTACATTGTCTTCCTATCCACCAGTTTTCGTTTCAATCGGACAACCCCTTCTTGGTGCGTCGATTTTTTTGTTATAGAGTATATTTCGTGTCTTTCAGGAAATTATTCAGGGCAAATATTTTTTAAGGGGATGATAAATTAGTATAATTTAAAACAAACTTTTCATTGAAAGGATTTGCGTTAAATGTTTCAAGAGATTACTTTTGCACATGTGCGTATCAAGTGTACACATTGATGTGTAAAGAAAATTACAATACTAACAATAAACCATCATCAGATTCTCAATTCTGATGCAGTGCATTACGACTCAACACTTCTTGTGGTTTACTTAGACATGCAAAAAACAGATCCAAGAGTTATTGAGGCTAGTTGTGAGGATTAATCCTAATGAACATAAAAGATAAGGAATTTATTGCTTTTGGGAGGACATTACTAAGAGCTTCAGGTTAAGAGAAAATATTGCCCAGTGTATTTTCAGTGTCCAAATAATATTGAAACAGCATCAACTGCACAAATCGTTAAAAATGAACCTGGTCCGTTCATAAACTTGATCCAAAAGTGCATGTTCGAAATTAAAATTGCTTTAGGAAATGTGTATAAGATTCCTAACACCATTGGTGAAATGTCTTTTGTACTTGTTCTTTTGAAATTAATATTTTCACTGCTATCATTTTTTCTTTTCAGAGCTCTGCAACAAAAATGAAGGAGTTTGCAGGAATCGCAATTGTTACTCTCTATCTAGAAAGTGTGATGGTGTCGATGATTGTGGTGATGGGACAGACGAGGAAAAATGCGGTAAGTGAGGAAATTTATTTGAAAATATTTTTTTTATTAGCTGTCTTTTCTGACAGGAGTAACTGTTTGAAGTTTTTAAATAATTGAACTGAAACAGACTCGTTAGAAAAATTTGAACTTTTAAAGTTAGGTAAATTTAAAATTTAAAAAGCGAGAAATTGGAAGCGTTAACCTCAATTGTGATTTTTTAAAATAAAGCTTGATTTCCAAAATGATTTAAAATACGCATGCGAAAAAAATATTTTCCAATCTTCAGATGATTTTACTCGTTCTCATCATAATTTTAAATAGTTAAGGAAATTAATTATGAAAATTTAAACAGTCTGTCGAGCTATAATTTAGGATTCCTTGCAGTCTTACTTAACAGCTTACTTAATAATTCTTATAATTTTTGTCCAATTTATCTCAAAACTAACTGCTCGTTTACCAGTGATGTAATTTTTTTTGGATGAGGAAAATTTCTATTTTACATATTTCCAAATAAATAAGAGATATATTTACAATTATACCACAGAAAAATATTTTAAAAATGCTGCGAAAACGAAGATTAATCCTGATCAAAAGCAAAGATCACATAAGAAAAGTATAACTTCTGCTCGCAACGAGATCTACATTAGTTTTATAAGTACATACTGTTAAACGAAGAAATTTGGACGAAAATCATACTCATCGAGTGGAGGTATTCGAAATACAGTATTTTGAGAAAACGTATTTTAAAATTTGCTCATGTATTGTGTTGTAAAACCAACATAATGCGCGGTATCCATGAATACTTTTGTCGTTTAAATTAAGTTTTAATTTGTATGGCTTCAGAATTGAAAATTAGCAGCTGGAACCACTATCATAGTTGTTGTTCACAGTTATGTACCATTATTCTAACCGTATAACAAAAGTTAACTAATTTTTGCAGTGTTGTTTAAATCTTAAGATACGTATGAATATTTTGGGACAATATAATTAGAAACTGACATTTTTGCATAAACTTTTACTAAGCACCGTTTCTATTTAACAGTTTTTTTACCAATTTGCAAATATTAATTCCATTAGCTATCAGCTCAAGATTTATTTTCCTCAAGGGAATTCGGTTTTCTTATCAGTATCACTCCCAAAATATGATCCCCTGAACAATATGAAAATGTAACTTGCTACATACATTGCTCCAAGTGCTTCGTGTGCAGCGATATTAAAATTTCTTAGTTAAGGTAGTATAAAACCAAATCTCATTCAAAAATATTTTCACCTCCTGACTCTTCATAAGAAGACTTTTTTTCTTTAAGAAAAAACAAGATTATTGAAAATAAATATATATTACGTTTGAAGAATACGTGGTATCTGCCCCTGATGTTCTCACTCTATGTCTCATCTAAGCCTATGCCCCAAGCGTCATCTAAGCCTCTCACTCTATGTGCCATCGATGGTATTTTTTACCTGTACGAATATCTTTACGTTGCACAAATGAGAAAGGTTCCAACAGACATTTTTTATAAAAGTTTGCAATTCTCAAGAAAATGATGAATGAAATGGTTCAAAACTTTACAATTCTCAAGAAAATGATGAATGAAATGGTTTAAAGGTTTACAATTCTCAGGAAAATATCTTTCTTTTTGTCTTACATTAGTTAAACACATTATTTTTGTTGCCAAGTCTTAAGATTTTGCAGATCTCAATGAATAAATATATATATAGCAACAATGTTTGAGTGTTTTTGGTAGTGAAGAAGATTCCGAATCCAGGTGACGCTAAAATGTGAACGATTAACTTGATAAAGTGCTTTTTCTTGGTAGCAAATTAAAATGCGAAGTCCAACGCTTTGTCACGAAAAATTCGAGTGAAAGTTAAGGTTTTACAGATTTCGCTGATTGGAAGTTTATATACAGAAAATAAGGGTAATGCATTATCTTTATTTGCTATTAGCAACGAGTGAACTTTGAATATATTCTACAATATTTCCCAAAAATATCAGAGTCTTCATTCACGCGTGCAACTTCACAGTCTTCATGCTCTTATTTATTTTTTCGTACTTAAATACTAGTTTTTGTAACCTACACAAATCTTTGATTTCATTTTTACAAAGATTCCTAAAATATTTCTGAAGACAGTCTTTACGAGACACGTTTCATAGGACTAAATTTATTTAATTTATTCTTACTTTTACGAACTACAGGAAAACCAGTAGCTCTACCGTCTGAAGAGTGTGGACAAACTCCTATCACCCCCAACACCATGTTCAGTTCTCCTGATAGACAGGTTGGGGGTATTCCAGTAGTTCCCAACAGTTGGCCCTGGCAAGTTTCATTGCAACACACCTACAAGGAACCCAACGCTCATTTTTGTGGAGGTTCTCTCATTAGTCCGCAATGGGTGCTGACGGCGGCTCACTGTGTGGTTGGGTAAGATAAAACGCAGATTCAGAAAATTTGATTTTGACTTTATTAATGCAAATAATGCTATGAAAAATTTATTACTTTACTTGCTTGTTGAACACACTTCACATGTGGTGGGAGGATGACCCTGGGCGAAATGGGTGAAGTACGTCGGGAGTTTACTCCTGGTAGGGCCACCCAAGGCGTGAAGGCCATTCCATTATGTCCAGCTAAATATCAGTAGGCGAAGGAGCCAAGACAGACTTCTACCTACTGGTGCTCCGGTACTTGGACTAACTGAAGCTGCACATTCCCTCAACCTTCGTCACCTACACAAAGTGCCAAATTCATCAGGCTTCTCCTGAGCACCTCTTGGATTGCATGGGACTCTCTAAGGAGGATCTCTATAGCAATCCTTTCCTAGTCTTCGACTTCCTTTCAGTTAACAAACTCGTGGATCTTGTCTGACTCCGTCAAACTGAGAGGATAAGCAACAACAACAACAACACACTTTATTTTTGTGCAGGTGCTTCAGTACTGAATTTTACATACCATTTTGGAGCGTGTTGAATGAGAATAACGCTATCTTAATATGGTGCTAAGTTGTACCATAGTATCGTACTTCTTGTATTTTATTACATGATATTATATTATTTAGAGTTCAACTTTAACAAATAAGCACTGTTAAATTTAAAATCTTATTCATGAAGCAGCAAGTTTGTACGCATTATGGTTCATAGCATCTAATTATGTGATCGCAGTTAAAAGAATAATGTCCGTTGTCCTTCTAACTACTATCCGCTGCTGAGGGACATAAGTTTCCTGCTGAGAGACATAACAATGATCCAAAAAAGGGGGAGGAAAGTGTGCTTTAGTCAATGAATAAATTGTGTCATACATAAAAGAATTTATTTTAGAATTTATCTACAAATTTCGAATTAAATTTATACTAACTAATCTTATAAATTTTATGAAACCCAACGCCATTAAAACCATTAATAAGTCTTTTTTTAGAATATCTACGATAATTTTACTGATTGTTGTTTTTTTTGGAGCAATCCTATTTGCTCCAAAAAATAGCTGTTTAAATAGTATTAATTTAGTTTTCGTAGTAGAAAGTAGGAGTTTTTTTATAACAACAAAAATCAGAGCTCATGGTCAAGAAAACTGAGATGGGATCAATAGGCCTTTACCCTCTATGGGCTGCCGTGCCACTGAGTTTAGTTTTTAGATGCCCTATTGAACTCAAAATTTCCCCAAAATCTGATCTTAATATTTCTAATACTAAACAGATTAAATGCAATAAATAAAAAAACTTGCATGCAATGGAAAACGCATTAAGTGTATACTTTCAATGAATGCTTCAAGTGAACTGGGTAAAATTTAAATGAGTAATTGGGTTTACGAGTATAAAAGCTGGGAAAAGTTTGCTTAAAATTCGCGAAAGCTTATTTTATCCATAGACGCGACATTTGAATACGAAAAATAAAATTTATTTCTTACCCAGATGAATTACTACACATTTTAGATGTTCTTATAACATACTCTAGAGATATGTAGCAATTAAATACTACAAGGATGTTCTTAATTAATTAAATATTGCTTCGATCGCAAAGATTTCATAACAAATTGTGGTCTCTTTTTTTTAAAAAAAAAATGACCTGCATACGAAATAAACATACATGGAAGCAGGTTAAGTTATAAGACCTACTGATTTCAAGAGCACTAAAATGAAGAAAATAATTCTATATTTATGAAAAAAGTAGGACGCATCAATTTCCTATGCTGTGAGGGGGATGAATTTTGTAGATAATAATTAAGATTTACTAATAGTTAAGATTTACTACTTAATCTTAATTAAGATAATAATTAAGATTAAGATTAATAATTAAGATTCACTACGAAAGTGATACGTTTTTCGTCCAAGAAAAATACAACCATTTTCTTTTTTTTAGTGAGCTACAAAAATGCAATTTTAAAAATTTTATTTTATTTTACTATTATTTTATGCGTATCTTTTTATTTTATCGACTGTTTAAAGGTATTTCCTTTCTTTAATAAATTATTTTGTGTTTTGAAAAGAAAAATATTGTTCCGCTGGACAAACCATTTATTTTTTTTCACTATATCCCGAAGAACACTCGATTGATGAGCTAACGTAAATGTTAAAAAGCATTATTTTACTCATAAACAACTCTAGTTTATTGTAAGTCAAATGATATTTTTCTAGCACATAAATACATTTTTTGTTCTGCTATTTTGATATTTCCAGCAGTATCTAATGCGACGACCACAAGGGAGTTCATATTACTCTCAATTTGTTTTGTCTTTTGATTAAAAAAAATAATAATTTTACTTGAACAATCAATACAATCACTTTTCAGAAAATCCCATGACCCTCATGATATGAAGATTGTTCTAGGAAGTCATGGTAAATATAATAAAACGAAGTACGAAGTCGTAAGAGTGGCAGAGAGAATTATATCCTATCCTGATTTAGAGGGAGAACAGGTAAACCATTTAAGTTTTATATGGACTTTTTTCTGAGCTTGAATTAAAAAAAAAAAACTTTGTATCCCTAGCTTATTCAAAAATTCTTTCTAAGAAAACAGCACAGTAAGAGGTCAAGAATGAAGTTTTTAGGAAAAATTCCTCCATATTTTATCAGAACATCGTTATTATTAGTTAATTCTTTCAAAATATAATTATAGCAGTAGTTCCAAATACGAATTTTAATACGCTTATTTTTTCAAATAGTTCGTTCTCTATAATAGATATTCTGAATTAGATCCATTTTTTTCAAACAATATTCAAAGTTATGTTTATTTTCAGCAATAAGCATTTTGATCTTAGACTGTCTTTTCAAACGCTAAGTTTCGTCCAATTCTTTAACACCCTTCAGAACTGTGATCACGTGCATGTGATCGCGTGATTCTCCTAGTAGGGACCACTAAATCATACATGAAACGAGCCTTTCTCGATGCTGTACTCTCGTATCACATCTCACTAGTACGAATAATATCTACGTTTTAGTACGTATAAACTCGGAGTTTGCGGGCCTGGAGAACTTGGACCGTATTTATCAGATTGCGGCTACGCTATATTTTGGGGATCAAAAACCCATAAAAAAAAAGGACGTTTATTCAGAGAAAGTATGTTTTTGTATCTGATTTAGGAACTTAAAATATCGTCTGCACTGATTAATTACCATATTTAAGGCTACTCCTTCGAATCTCTAAAAATGAGTCCTAGAACGTAAAGATTCGATCATTAGATCAAAAGTTATTAAGGGCAATTTTTATATTGCGCACTTTACATATGAATGCGTGGCCTTTATTCAACGGTAATTTCATGCAAAAGAAATTTTACCAATAATCTATGATTTTTTTAAATTTGGATTTCACTTAATAGAAAAAAAAATGCATCATAAAGTATAAAAATGCTTTACAATCTCAAACAAAGTAATCTTAATTCAGAATCCAAAATTTAAATGAAATTTTTTTAACAGTACCTTAGAAGAAACCAGTAGTTATTTTCAGTCACTTCCAACTTAATTTGTTAAAAAATAAAGTAATAAGATTAAAAACTTAATCAATAATTAAAGTTTTTAACATATTATTTGAAAAAAAATTAGAAGAGAATTCTTGTTCTGTTGCAGAACACTTTCGTTGATTTACTAGATGACTATTTTATAGATACCGGAACAAATCTATTATTTTTAATTTTCAAAGCGCATCCTGTATATTTATTTAATTTATACGTATGGGGTCAGATAACGTAAAAGTTTTTGATATTTATCTACGTTTTGTTTCTAATTCTTATTTTAATTATCTTTTCGCGGATTAACTTTGAAGTTGCATCACTGAATCGGTATAAGCATCAGCATTAAATATTTTTTTCAGAATTATGATTGCAGAGATTACATTCGAAAGCTGAAGAACTACAAAATCAGAGAAAGAAATCAAGCTTTTTTTTTTTTTGTATTATTTTATTTTAAGATTAAAAGCCATTTTTTGTGATTTTAAATAACAAATAAAATGTACTTTCTAAAAATTTAGACATGTCAAACATGTTATTCTATTTTTTATTTCAGCTGAGATATATGACATTTACTCAGCACATGACATGAAGTTACTTTATACTAAGTCATGACATAAGCTAAGTAAATGAAGTTACTTCATACTAAGTCATGACATAAGCTAAGTAAATGAAGTTACAGCATTTACTCTGCTGATGATATGAAGCATACATGAAGTTACGCTTCTGAATCGCTATGAGCATCAGCAGTAAATATTTATTCCAGAAATATGTCTGCGAAGATTACTACTGTAAGCTGAAGAACTAGAAAAAAAATCGAATTCTTTTTGTACTATCTTATTTTATGATTCAAAGAAATTTTTTTTTTCTGATTTTGAGTATAAAATAAAATATCCATTCTAAACATTTAGACACGTTAAATAATGTTATTCTATTTTTTTTTTAAATTTCAGTTGAGATACATGACATTTACCCATGACGTAGCTTTAGTGAAATTGAATGCTCCTGTAACTTATAGTGATGGCATTCAACCCGTTTGCTTGCCTAGTATCGGTTGGGAAGTTAAACCAGGAACGGTATGTTATTCCACTGGATGGGGAGAAACCAGAGGTAATTAAGGCTTTATTTTTCGGTTTAGGTGAGTCTTAACTATTAAACCACGGAACAATTTAGGTCATAAAGTCGATTCTTTCGCTTAACGCAAATTTCCTATATATTCTACTTTTCTAAAACAAATCTGAAAAGAAATTTGTGCACACAGCTTAAATCAAGAGCCACCAAATTATTTTATCATCGGCTTTCAGTAAATACTGCCTATAAATTTTAAAGGAATAACATTGATATTAATTTACCCCTATATCGGATCAAAATAAAGACTACGTATTAAAGTTAACCATTTTAATTCATTTCTTCCTTATTGAATTTCTTTTATAAATTTTTGTATTATAGAATGCCAATTCACATTCATCTTCTAAATCCCGTGAAAAAAACTAATGGTGGAAGCATATAACACATTTGCAAATATGAAAGCTAAAAATAAAGTAATAACTGTACTAATAATTTCAGAAATATGATGTAAAATAAAAAGGATTACATTGTGATTGAACTTTTCTTTTTATTTAGATGTAGATTTTTAAAGCGTCATATTGTCATTAAACGCTTTTTTCTAAGTAAAGATTTTTAAAGTACCATTTTCTTACGCTTGTGAAAATTACTGAAAACAGACTAAATGATATACAGGGTTTCTACTAAATACTATAACACTCTAAAATATTGATTAATTTTAATTGTTGGGTGAAACAATTGTTCTCGCATTATTCCTGTGACTGGCACTTTCTATAAGTGCAGACGATTTTTGTTTAAAGCAAAATATTTAGAATCAGTTTAAGGACGGAATCGAAAAGGTTGATGATTAAACAATTTTTGAATCGTGGATTTTATGCAGGTAGAATCTTTAAGCAGTTAAAATCTTTTAGGTTTAATAGAACATTTATATATAGAACTGTAAATAGATTATTAGATACTAATAGCTGTAAAGATCGACCCAGGTCTGGTCATCTATGTTCCGTTCGTACAAAAGAGTGTACATTAAAAGAATTTGTAAAACGATACGAAGATATAACGTTCTGTTAATAAAATGTCTGCAGAAGAGAACGTGAATTAGAGAACTATGAAAGTTATATTAAATGAAGACCTGGGCATTTGCCCTTATCACAAATGAAAAGTTCAAGGTTGGAATACTGCACAAAAATAAAGAAGGTTACAAAGATGTAAGATATTCATGAACCGGAGCGGTAGCAAAATTATTGACAAAATAATTTTTTATGATAAGAAAACATTTTGCTCAGAGCAAAAAGTTATAATGCTAAAAGTAATGATGCTAAAAGTAATGCTAAAAGTAATGATATATTCAGCAGCCTTCGATGATGTACCTGAAAGTGTTCAAATTGTAAAACGCTTTCAGATTAAGAATACTGTAATGTCTTGGGCTGCAGTGTCATATAACGGAAAATTTCATCTGAAATTCATCGATAAAGGAGTAAAAATCAATGCTGAATATTACAAAAAGAAAGTATTGGCTACGCATTATTACCACATGCTGACAGATTGTATCCCAAAAAGGATTGGATATTTCAGTAAGATTCTACACCATCACACTGAGCCAAAACAACACAGGATTGGCTCCATGTCAATTGCTCGAAGTTTACTAAGCAGGAAGATTGGCCCCTTTTTTCACGGGATCTAAATGCTTTAGACTCTCATATTTGCGGGAGTTTTAAGTTAATGCCAAGCAGCACAGAAGTTTAGACTTTCTCAGAGCTTCTATACTGCATGAATGAGACAAATTACCTATTAAATTGTTAAACTGATTCGTGCCGCCATCGGACAACGGTGCAAGAGATCATCTTGAAAAATCAATAAAGATGATGGTCGATTCCAATTTTTTTTTAAATGTTAACTTCCATTTATAGCATTCACCATATTTGCGTATTTATCACTTTCTATTTAATATCTGTACAATAAAGTGATTTGATATTCGTAACAGTATTTTGTAGCCACCCTGCTGTTCTATATTCCTTGGTAATTTTCTTTAAATTGAGATTTTCAATGAGAAAACATTGTAATTTTCATCAATATATTGTTATCAGATTGATTTAAAAACAAATCTACATGATTCTAAACGATGGCAAAGAAAATATAATTTTTAAGTATCTTTTGAGACTTCGTCCTTTCATCTATTTATAACAATATTGCGTACAGTTGCTATTTTTTTAAAGACGAGATTACCTAGATGATATAGGCTCTGTTCACATATGCTCCTTCCTGTGTTTCTATATAAGACTTGATCGATAAGACTAAATTATTTTCCTCTAAATCGTTATAAGTATAACTTATATTTCAGGCTCTGGATTTGCTGCTGTTCTTAAACAAACTGAGCAAATTGTACAGTCAAAAGACAACTGTTCATACGACTTAAAAACACAAGTGTGTGTGTCTAAAACCAAACAATCTCCTTGTCACGTAAGTATGTCATTCCTTCTACAAACAGACTAAACTACTTAGAGAAAAATCTTAGAGAAGTAAACTACTTAGCGAAATATGTAGTCCCTATTAAATAAATAATAGCAAGTAACTGAAGTAGTAAGATATTACCTGATAGAAAGCTTCATGCTCTTCAAAACTATACAAAATGACAATCGATATGTTTAAAGAAAATTTTTTTGGAAATGGACACCTACTTTTGATACATATTAAGTGTCATTTCAATTTTGCATATTTTTAAGGCGTATGAAGTTTTCTATCAGGTAAAATAGACCCTAACTCGCGTTTGTATGTAACATTCCAACAAAAACGATCAAGTAATCATTAGTCTATAGAATACTTAGTTAAATCGTGACATAATCAATAATTTTATATACCTTAACTAGTTATTTCATGAAATACCTATAGTTAGTATTCTATGAAATAACTCATTTCACATTTTAACGGTAACGTATACATTTGAAAATAGTTCAATTCTAAGATATTTTGGGGTCACAGAAGTTAACCTATCTCATTTAAATGATCGATACAGCTGGGCAAAAGTAGAATTATTTTTAATGATTCTATTCCTCATTACCATGTACAAGTTTCGAATGATATGATTAAGCGAATGTTAAATTAATTGCATTCATCGCCTGAAGAAATATTTTTTTTTGAGGAAAAAGCGAAAATTTACATTTTATTGGGATGCGATTTAATATGGAAATTATGTAATGGAAATAAATCAGAACTTTCTAAAAAGTTTCATTGTGACGAAACTTTATTCGGTTATTGAGTGGAGTTGCGCAATCTATGAATTTAGGAATCCATTCAGTCAATGTATGTATTTTGGTAACGAAAAACGTAACGAACTTTGATGATGATTTAAATATTAGTTTAAGGAAACTTTTGATGTATCTTCTGAAGATAAAAATTGTTATTCATTGGACGATAATTTAGAGGCAGGTCCAAGTCTTAACCCTAATTTGTTAAATCTTTTTTTGCGATTTCGAGAGAATTTTATTCAGATTATGAGAGATATAGAGATGGCATATTTGCTCATTTCTTTAAATGAAAACGAAAAGAAGTTGCCAGCGCTTTCTTTGATTAAATCAAATGCTGTTAAGAGTGAGATTAGGATTTTTTGGAACACTAAAGTTACATTCAGGGTTAAGTCTTCGCCATTTCCTTTGTCCGCTACTGTTAAGCACCATATAAGGAAATTTAAAGATTCACGCGAGTTAATATACCTGGCTTTAAATGATTGCCTCTATGTTGATGATCTAATTACAAGAGTCAATAATCTGGAGGATGCTATTGAATTGTGTAAGGACGCAAATGACATTATTATACCAGTCAAAATGGACTTGCGTGTCTTTAAAACAAACTGCATTGAACTTTCGGAATATTGGCAAGAAACGAAATTCAAAAAACCTCTCAAAGATAGTTTGATTCCTAACAAAAGATTAGGCGTCATATGGTACTCCATGAAAGATGAACTGAAATTGGATTTATCTTCCAAAAACTGTTTTTTCTCTAGTCCTATTTTAGTGATACGTGCGATTTTGCTACTATCATTCATAATTTTCGACCCTCTTGGTCTGATAACTGCATTCACGATTCGAGCAAAGATATTGTTGCAACTTACTGGGCAAAGAGGAATTGGCTGGGATAATGAGTTGACTAATGATTTGAAAAGAAAATGGAAGAAATGGAAGAAAGTACAAAACTGAAACACATTCTCGTCTTGAAAACTTCAATTTTCAGATACATATTTTCAGCGATGCCAGTGAATTAGCCTTAGAAACTATAGTCTACTTCAAATACATCAATAAGTAAGAAAGTTCGGTTCGTCTTTGCAAAGGCTCGAGTTGCACTTGTGAAGCAAATTTACGTTACCGAGACTAGAGCTTTAATCCGCTACCCTTGGTCCAAGAGTGGTTAACTCCTTACGAAGCCTTTTCACATAACGAACAATTATATTTATGGAATGATTCTATGATGACTTTACACTGGATTAAAGGGTGTCTTAATAATTGGAAATCTTTTGCCAGGAACAGAGTAAGGAAAATCCAAACGAAAACTGAACCAAAAAATTGGAGACATTGTTGTGGCATTGATAATCCATCTGATTCGTTGACACGTGGTTGCAAATCAAGCGAACTGAAAGAAGGCGATATATAATGGCATAGACCAAATTAGTTTAGCGTTGAAGATTCAGAATGGAATGGTAGTTAAGGTTTCAATTCTTTAATTAGCGAAAACCTGGACTACGAAATTCTTATTGAGAAATGAATCAAGACCATGAACTTTAATTTGAATGTTTGAAAAGAGGATAGCCAGTCTAATATGTTGAACGTCATAGATAAAATTTCCTCGTGGACTAAATTGCAAAGAGTATTTGCCTGGTGTATAAGATTTGTTGTGAATTGCAAGTTTACACTACTAACGTTAGTGGTTGTTTAACGACTGCAGAGATTCAAAACACTAGAAATTCTGTTGTGAAGATAGTTCAGGAATATGCTTTTAGTACTGAAATGGAATATCTGCGGAAGGAGAATATACTTCCAATAAATAACATACTTTGTTTGTTACTGCTTTATCTTTGAAATTAAAGCTTGAATGAATGTAAAAACATTTTATGAATCCCTTAAGGATTCACGAGAGGGATGTTTCTGTCTGAAATAATTCTCGATATGAATATAGATGGTAGATCAAAGTCACGTGATTAGTCAATGCTTATTTTTATGTTTTATGCGTTTTGCAGTTTAGGCGTCTGGGTCACAATTATGTGTCTGTGTCGCAATAAAGTTGTCTTTTTTAAAACTGGCATGGTAATTCTTGAAAAATTATTTTCCCGAGAAGGAATCCTTTACAAAGCTGATTAGTAAACATGTTTTTCCGTAACGCCTAATTTAAATACTTGGATGAATAAATTATTAACTAATTTGTAAATGTCTATTTTCGAAATAGGTGGAAAGACTTCTTAAAAACTTAGGTATAGTATCTTATTAAAACTTTGCACACTTCTCTATAAATATAATTGATTACTGATTACATGATTGATTTTCGTTTCCCTTAATCGCAACTTATTGTACATGGCCATACAGTCTAGGTACCTCCCCCCCCAAGAAAATCACACTTTCTTGCATATAATTCTATTAACAGTTCAAACGACATTTAAAAAACCTTCTTCTCATTATGAGCTGCACTTTCTCTCTAGAAAGAAATTATTGTTTTTTTTTCTTAATAATAAGCTATCACTAGTTATTCTGTCCAATGTGAGGTTACTTTTCTTAAGAAGTATCCGAAAATTAAATTAAGCTATCGTGTGTTATCCTTTCTATTGCGAGGTTACTTTATTTAAGAAGTATCAGGAAATTAACTGTCAAATTCTAAATTTTTTGTGCGAAAGTTTCATAAAGTATCAAGCTTTTAGGCGAAATTAAAGTTTGAATGAAATGTGGTGTTTGGGAATTACACCGGGAATTACTATACAAAAAATATTGAAATAAAAAAAGCTGTAATAAATATTTCTTAGTAATAACATTTGTAATTACTTAGAGTTCTGTGAAAATTTAATGAAGCATAAGTCGGAGTCGTACTCAGAAATTTAAATTTACCGACTCCTCAACTCTGAATTTTACATAGACTGGGCTCCAAATTCCAGTTTTTGTTAAAACTTATAACTCCAATGTCATATAGAATTTTACAATATAATAGTAATTAAATTGCAAATATTTTTAATTTTAGGGAGATAGTGGGGGACCACTATCGTGCAGACTTGGTACTAAATGGTGGGTATTTGGAGCTACAAGTTTTGGCTCTGACTCCAACATGATGACCGGTCTCTGTGGAACACCCAACACAAAAGTAGTTTTCTCAAGCATAGCAGATAAAGGCGATTGGATTCGTAAAGTGATAGAGAAGTTAAACTGAATGTTTTAAATAGTGTTATAAATTTACAGAGCAAATAAAATAAAATAAATTATTGTCTTCTCTGTGTTTTTTTAAATTATAAATTGAAGAGTTTTTTTCTCTTTTTTTTGATGCTATAGTTTGAGTGCCTAAAACTCTAGCACCCGTATTCACCACCACGAGTTATCTGCAAGTTATACATTGGTACGAGTTAAACCAGGGGTGAAATACAAAACGTTATTCTCCTTCCAAAATCCACGAGTAACTCGCGAATTCTATCGTTAAATCTGGACCGTTGTTTAGTTTTTATTTCATAGGAGTTATCCCCAAGTTAACCGCGGATCGAGCTTGTAAACAAACAAAATGAACGACTGTTATCACTGCTTTAGAGTTTGAAAGCATTGAATTTCTTGAAACTGTTGTAAGAAGGATAAGATATGTCCTGGCTATAAGAAATAACGATTTGGAGGAGTTAAATGACATAGATTTTTTGACAGAGAGAATTTTTCCTCCTTGAAAGAATTAATGTTCATATTTCACTGTCAGTCGCAAATCGCTACAGAAATTGTTTTATCTGTTGCTCCTCTTTATTCATTTGGTAATCTATATATATAAAAGTGAATGTGTGT